ACTTGGGCACCTTGTGGATCACTTTGACCACGGAACAGATGGAGACCTCTACCCTGTTGGCCCTCCCACTCGGACATGACGGCGCACCCATTGTGGTTGATTTGGCCCCAGGTTCTACCACTTACATCGATCTGAATGCAGTTGACCCCGCTCTTCCAGGTCTTCCTCGAGGCGAAAACCAATACAACGAGGACCACACTGAGTACGCCAATCAAGTCCACGACCGTGATCACGGTTCTTTCCACGTCGCCAACCCGCATGAAGAATGGGCCTGTCGACACTGTGGTCCTTCTCGTTACTGGTTTTATCGATCTTGGTTCCACCACAAGACCATTCGCTGGAACCACGCTGACGTTCCCTACTTCAAATCCACCCCGGGTTATTTTCTCGACCAACATCCCTACTCCACCTGGGCTGATCAACATCTTCGTGTGTGGGGTACCCAGGGTTGGCAGTTGGTCTTGGGAGCAATTCAGAGTCTCCCCATTTGGGAGGCCTGTGAGAACTATGAAAATGCCCTTCACCTTGAGCAGCAACGACTGGCAGAAGAAAACCGCCTTGCTGCACCGGGTTCTACTCCGGTTGCTCATCCCCGGGGACGAAAACGCCAAGCTGTCGACACTCGTGTGGAGTTCATGCTGGAACCTACTTCAGAACTTCTCCCAGCTTGATTGTTTCTCAATCACCGGTGTTGCGGAATCTCCCCGCTCCTCAGCAACGACAGCTCATTGAAGGCATGGTACATACCCTTACCACCTATCAGGATGAACTCAACCAAGCCCTCGACTTAAGAACATTCTCCCAATCCTGACCTTCCCTCCGCAGCTCCTTCCGCCTCCGCCGGCCAGGAATTGCCGATTACCCCAGCCGTCACTGGTACAGATGTTCCCGTACCGGATTCGGGATCTATGTCATTGACTTCCTCATCTACAGCATCCCAAAATACGTTGGCTCTACGCGAGCTCCGCCACCTTCGGGTTGAGGCCGTACGCGCTTCCCTTGTACATTAGAGCTCACCATTCACAGTTTGAAAACAATCCCGCTCCGCTTATCTCCTGTTTCTTTTTCTTTTTTTCTTTTGCGAATTTTCACTTTGTCTAACATTCGTCGCACTTTACACACATCCTTTCTCTCTGTCCGCAGCCATTGGCTCCCACCGCCCGTGTCATTTTTCATTCCCTGTTGCCAAGATGATCTCGTCACCCGGACTTCGTGTTCCCGAACCTCTGACCATTTGCCAACTCCGACTACCTTTGACAGCGTATCAGACCTACCGTGAGCTCCGCCAGTTTAACTAGTCTCACCCAACCTTCCGGCTCAGCGCTTAAAATCTGCCTCCCTTCGGGGAGGCCCTTGTAGTCACAGGGATCCTGTCGGATTGCGTTGTTCTCGTTTTTCAGCAGGGGGTGCCAGGGGTGCACACTGGACTGGCACCAACGAAGACGCCAGCGTTGCATCTGTGAAATCAATCCGGGACGCCGGATTGACGCACCTGCTGGGAGAGAAACCTGCGTAGAGCACAAGCTGTCTACTTCGTTGTTTCCTTCAGTAAAGGGCTAAAATGTAGCGGTGATGAACCACGTCGTCACCTTGTCGTCCGCTCGATCGGTGTTTCTGGAGTTGCTGGCCACCTGAAACCTGCTGGACCTCCACTGGATGGACCTCCATTTCCTTTTCAGGCTTCCTTACCTGTACTCTTAGGAATTGGTACCCTAGGCCGGCGTGCGGCACCGCTGTCCAGTCAGCACGCATATCCATAAGTGTGCGCGTCGCACTCCGTATCCAAGAACTTTGTTTTAATTTGAGCTCTCTAATTTAAACACTATCTGCAGGGGGCCGTCCCTCTCACCTGGGGTGACCCATTAGGTGACCGGAGCGGTCTGAGCAGCCAGCCATTTTGGCACGGCGCAAGGTGACCATAGCGGTCTAAGCAAGTTGAAGGTTCATTGGAACCTGTCGGGACCTTACCCTCCCCTTCTTCTCTCTTTGCTTTTTGGTGTATTCCTGTATTCCTGAATGTAACACTCAGGTACACCCCTCTCCTTGGTGTCCCTGGACGCTTGCGCGTAGCTGGGAACACCTGTCTTCGTCCTTTTCTTTCCTCCTCTTTCTCTTTTCCCTCTTTCTCTTTCTCTTTCTCTTTCTCTTTCTCTTTCTCTTTCTCTCTCTCTCTCTCTCTCTCGCTCTCTCTCTCTCTCTCTCTTTCTCTCTCTTTCTCTCTTTTTCTCTCTTTTTCTCTCTTTTTCTCTTTCCTTTCTCCCCCTTCCTTCTTGCTTGGGTGTCCCTGGATGCTTTCGTCATAGCTGAGAACCCTTCTCTTCTTCTCTTGGTGTGTCCTTGGACGCTGGTGTCGTAGCTGGGAACACCTTCTTTTCCTTTCATTTCCCCTCCCTCCTGTCCGTACCTTAATGTTACTTCTCACATCGTTTCTCACCTCTCTTCGCCCCATTTTGCAGAGAAGCCGCAGCGGGAACAGCTTGAGACTGGCTCAATTACCACGCCCAACAACTCCACACTGGCAACGTTCCTCGAAACGCTTTTATCGCCAAACTGCTTGTGGACAGCACCAGGCCAATCGCCCCCATCCACCCGAAACATTGCGCACCGCCTATACCCATGTGGTCCCGATGTCTCACGCAGCCATCCAGACCGCGCCACCTACAAGGATCAACAAACGGACCCAGTCATTTGGGCCGGTACCCACCGAGTCACAGGCAACACCATTGGCACAGACCAACGCCCACACCCCTTTTCTCCCACAACCTGCCATGACACAAACATCAGCGCCATCCCTCTCTACCCACCCTTTTCTCGCCAAGCCCGCACACATGCCAACGTCACATCTGCAGCCAACAAGCAACCCACACCTCCACATTTTGGCCATGAACCCGCCGATCTCATCCCACATGTCTTGGCCATCGATCCTCAACAGACACCACAACCCAAACGCCCACCCCCAGCTCTCAGCCAGCCGGGTGGAGGCCGTTGATGGAGGCTGCGGTATTGCGTAGGTGGTGGCTGTTGGTGGAGGCTGTGGTATTGAGGCATAGGTGTGTGCCAGATGAGCGGATGGTGGAGTCTGCTGGCTGGGGGAAAGGTGGTGGTGGCGGCTGCTGGTCCTTGGAAGAAAGGCATCTGAGTGGCCGTCTGAGGGCATCGCACAGTCTGATCAACTGTGTGTACCTGCGCTGCGACATCACCCTACTCTTCTCGCTGTTTTTTGCTTCCATGGTCCTTTCACGATACTCCCCACAAACAGGCTTTCTACCGCATTGCAGCTGCTCACCGCCGCGTTCCGCAGACAAGTGAACAACATGTTCAACAGTTCGGTTGCGCTGACCGCTTCACCTTACGTTTCCCTCGTCCATGTCACCGTGGATTCTGATACTGGATGAACCTGTGACTAAGTGTATCCCGCTATCACAAGCGGTAAAGTGATTGTACTTGACAATGCGAGCCAACTCAGTGGAGTAGCAGGGAGCACAGGCCTATCGTGGATACCTGTGCCAATGAAGCTGTTCCACGATGGGGGAAGCGGAGATTGATCACCTCCATGTACCTGCTGACATTTGTGATGTTACGCAATCACATCCCACTCTAGAACTCAGGCTGGTGAGGTTTCAATGGTCGACAGATGCTCTCGCACTTTCGTGACGGTGTCGCCCATACATGGAAGGTTGTGGACTCAGGACGTTCTGGGCTTTGACACCTTTCCACCGTTCCACCACCAAACAACTCTTCCCAGTGTGTGACGTGTTCATTTTCTGTTGGGAAGGGGGTAGACACCAGTTACACATTTTTGCTGTTACAGGTTGCCTTCTGTTGATTTAAAGCGCTGCAATTCCCGAATGCTTGCTTGCAAATGCTAGAACCCAACGATCTCCAGGAATGGTGGCCAAACAAGTGGAGGTAGCAGGTAGTGCTTTTCAAGGGACAAAGAACTGACAAGCGGAGGTCAAGAACTGACAACACATCGCAACCTCTACAGTCGCTACGCTACAACACAGCCTTGCGCATCACCACCACATCACCACTTTCCACCTCATCATAAATCACCCTCGGTTGGTCCCCGCGACTACGATCATCTTCCATGCGGCTGGAGGATGGCAAGGAAGCTCGACCTGTCACCACTCTGCCCTTGGACAAAGTGAGTTCTAGTGGTGTGGCAGGCTGGATATGGCTGGATTGTCTTCAATTCACCACTCCTGCGCGAGGCCTCTTTGTCCTCACTGACCTTGTCCTTCAACGTGTCCAAGTGCTCCAGCTCTGCGGCTTCAGGACAGCTTTCGGCTTTCTCTCACTGTTCTTGACTCTTGACTGTGGCTGTCTGCTCTGCGTCCCAACCAGAGCATCATGTCCAACAGGCGTGCCCCTCAATTGCAAGCTATTTATGTTGGAGGAATATGAAGCTCTGAAAGATGACTGTAAAATCCTCGGGTCTGCCTGCTGCTCTGTGACACATGGCATGCGCGCAAAGCATCACGTACTCCCTCCCTTCCGCGTGGCGAAGAAACCCTGATGATGCTTTTCGCTGCTCACTTCCACTGACCCTCATTTTATTTGATCTCTGACTCATCAGTGGACAAAGGAGACCACAGCACGCATCTCGCACAAGCCACGCACGAAAGCTCCGGCAAAGGCTGAAGCAAACGATCCACGCCGCAAGGTCGCTGGATCTATGGTTGCATTGGAGACGCCCACTCGCGATGTTGCCACATTCTCCACAGCAACGGCACAGCCGTCGTCAAGCCCGCCAAGCCCGCGTAGCCGGCAGCAAGGAAATGAGTAAACTTGTGAAAAACGGGCGCAAACGTCACGAGCACGCAATTTTGCGTGGCCATCTGCCCCTGCCTTCACGGGCCACATCCCAATGAGCTGTAGTCTCTTTGTGGCCGTCAGACGGCTGCGGCAGTGAAATAATGCCTTTTGCAACAGAAACTTCTTTATTTTTATTATTCTCGGGAAGTGAGGAATTTGAAGTTTGGAGCGTTGGAGCAGGCCTGCATGGTTCTTCCCGCAACTTCTGCAATTGGTTTCATTGCCTTGCACAAGGAAGGGAATGGATTGCTTCACCGCTGCAGGAGGAATCGCATCAAAAGGCTCTGCCTGACTCTGCCTTTGTTTGGCACTTTGCTGATCACCTTGATCTTCGTTTCGACCTCTGCATCTTCGAGCAAAATGGTTGCCTCCTGCTACCTACGCGGTTGGCCTCGAAATTGCCCTCTGGAACGATATGCAAGCTTCCGGCGGCATTCCAGGTCAACCTAGCAATGATGGATATAGAAACTAGAATTCCATTCCTTGTCAAAGGCAAGGCACCTCGTGCTCCCGAAAGCGATCGTTGCGCGCTTTGAGAGTTCGCCCAGTGAAATTCCAACGTAGGCCTGAAATGCAGGCCATTGATTTGGCCATGCTGGTTTTATCTTCACCTCATGCACACAGAAGTGATGGGGCTGGTTGTATATCATCGTCAGATGAGTTGATAACACCCCTGTGCTAGGGTGAGGGTCTCGGTCTTACGGCATTGAACATAAGAAAGCCTGCCGAGCAAAATTGATTAATTGATCAAATAGGTTGTTTTCAAACCCTAGCGCAAAATGTTGCAAAACAAGTTCCACCTCAGAGGTTTTTGACCGGGCTTGGTCAGCAATATCCATCACTTTAGTCCTTGTCACAGTCTAATAATAGCCATAGAAAATTAGGATTCAAATTGTCCCTGTTAGAGTGCTCTACACTCTAGTCATTGCCTTCGTTATTGATCGGCCAGTCGAAAAGAACATGCTTTTGAAATCTCATTTATGATTACAAATTATAACCCAAAGTGCAAGAAGGAAACTATGGTCCCGACGGCCCTGGCGCCTCCTGGCCTTATCTTTACTCGAAACAAAATATTGTAATGTGCTTTGTTTAAAAATGCAATAAAATGGCAAGCAAACCTTTGAATTGTGATGAATTGTGCATGCTCTTGGGCTCCTTGCTTGAACACGCCGCCTCCTTGCTTCACCTTCAGGATCAAGAAGGGCTCGACGCAAAACCTTCGGCAAAAAGAGGGGTCGCATAAACAAGTTGGACAGCGTCGACTTCAGGGACCAAGCAACATCTTCTCTCATGATAGCTTCAATTTCGGCGTCAGCTGCTTCCGCAGCCTTTGCAGTTGAAGTCTCAGTTTTCTTGTTGAAGTCTCTTGAAAGAAGCGGCCTGCGTTGCATCTACTGCCTCAAAGGCCAGCAGTCAGAAAGAACCCACATGACAGCAATGAGGCTGGCATGTGCAAATGCACCTGGGCTGCAGCTTTCGCTGTATCAGGGTGGACCTTTCACAATGAATCTTGCTTCGTATTTGACTACCTGTTGCAACTGTTGCAACTGCAAGTTCGACAAACCGCATAAAGCTACAAAGCACGCCAATAAGATCCCGTAAGAGTAGTCTGGAGCACACTAATTACACTCTGCTGTTCAAGTCGTCATGTCCAAGCACACCGCGCATGTACGGTCACAGTACCCCGACAAATGCGCGTGAACAGCTTCCCCCTTAGGGGTTAAGATAGTCAAAGAGTCAAAGACCATGCAACCAATTGTCCGAAAAGGGTTATATATATAAGCAAACATGTAGGAAGTCCAATCTACAAGCACCATAGTAGTTCTGCTGCATGCGGTTTGAGTCTTGGCTCTGTCGCAACCTATTTTTCTTCACCCACCAATGCACAGTGTTGCTCTCCACATACACTTAGAGGAATTAGGCAAAAAAAACAAACAGGCAAACAATGGCATCAAGCAGTACTGTCTTCAGTACTTGGCAAAGCAAATAGACAGTATTCAAATCACAAAGAATGGTGTGCGAACGAATACGCATGACATGCCGTGTCTCCTCAACCGCTGCCTCCTCGACATCAACGATTTGCACCGGCCGCGCTCCTCTCTTTTGATGCGAATCTTGCGGTCACAAATGGCACATTTGTACTCATTTGTAGCAAGGACGCTACTAGGAGCAAAGGGCATCGCTACTAGGAGCAAGGACGCTACTAGGGGCTCCTGGCCTTACTACTAGGAACAAGGACGCTACTAGGAGCAAAGGAGTATCGCCTTCAGCCTCGTCAACTCCAACTCGATCCTGCCAGCAAACCACTTACACACCTAATGATTGCTCATTCAAGCTCAAGTACCTCCTGTCCAGTTGTTTTTCACGAAAGCAAATTCAGCAGCTCGCAGTGGTTGTGAAGTCCTGCGCAACGCTGGCAGTTGCCTCCAAATCTAAGACGTCGACTCCTGGCACTGATCAACTTGTCTCAACTGTCTGTCAAGTCTGTCAAGCAATCTCTCCAAGGCTAAACAAACATTGTGCCAAGGCGCCTCCAGCGTGCACAGGATCCTGCACGAAGTGTTTCATTGCCCTTGAAACCCATTGAGATGCCGGACGTTCACAAGCAACTGCCCTGGCAACTTCGGCTGCTTGATTGCAGTGATTCCTTTTGCCGCACTGCGTCGTTAACACAGCAGGATACGGATCTCGTTTGCAGTTGTGCAATGAACATCCGAAAGCTTGAGCCGCCAAAAGGAATCTACTCCAATGCGTTCATCCTCCGCGCAACCTCAGATCAAAGGCAAACACGCCCTCGAGGCCTAGGTTTTGAGAAAGACCCAGAACCCCTGATGAGCGCCTCATGTGATTCATGCCACCTCGCAAGTTGGTACCCTCTAAGCATCTAGGCAGTGTTGACCGCTTTGACCAGTGTGGAAACAATTGGAAACAGGGAACTGAGAGCTGGACCTGAGCCACACCCAATGCCGGTCATCGTTGCCCCAGTAGCTTATCCATCCAGTCCTGAAACGCTCAACGACTGTTGGTGACAACCATGCATGCCTAGTGCAAATAGCAGGCGCACGGGCTTTCACTTTCGCCACAGGGATCCATCAAAGGCACTCGATACCCGCTCTTTTGAACCTGGAGCAGCAAACCTTCCGACTCCGTCAGGCGCTCCAAGGGGTCAAGAACAAGACAGTGCATGTTTAACTTGAAAAAAACAAAATAAAAACCAAATGGAACCCACGAATCCGAACGCAAACACGTACTCGAAAACAAACGCCCAAACATGTTTTGTTTGTAGGAGACGCTCTTGTAGAACGCTCTTGCGGGACTCTTGTGGGACATTCACGTACGACAGACTTACGTACTCAGACGTAATTTGGCCACAGAAGTTGACAGTTCTGAGGCCACAGCTAAAACACTCTTGTGGTGCACTCTCCTGGGACACTCTTGTAGGACACTTTGAAACACTCTTGTTGGACACTTTGTACAGCACTCACTCTTGTGCGACACTCTTGCGGAACACTCTTGTAGGACACTCTTGTGGGGCACTCTTGTAGGACACTCGCGTCGGACATTCTTGTGGGACACTCTTGCGGGGCACTCTTGTGGGACACTTTTGTAGGACACTTTTGTGGGACACACTTGTGGGACACTCTTGTAGACACTCTTGTGGGACACTCTTGTATGAAACTCGTGTGGGACACTCGTGCGGAACACTCTTGTAGGACATTCTTGTGGGACTGTCTTGTAGGACACTCTTATCGGACAATTTTGTGTGTCACCCTTGTAGGACACTCTTGCGGGGTACTCTTGCGGTGGGACGCTCTTGTGTGACACTCACTCGTACTCGTACTCGTGTGGGACACTCTTGTAGGAAAGTGTTGTGGGACACCCTCGTAGGACACTCTTGTTCGCGATTCCAGCCCTGCAAGCAACACCCGCTCACACGTCAATCCCAATGTCACAGCGACATTCACCTCCACCACAGCTCACAACCTCACGATTCCCTGCGCCTGCCACAAAATAATGCGCCTGCCACGAAATGTGACCTTGCAACCTCACGATTCCCTGCGCCCGCACAAAGCCCGCACAAAGTACTGCGCCTGCAAAGAAAAGTGACAATATCAGATCATGTTAGCCTCAGGTCACCACGCCACACACTTGGAATGACTTCGGCACGGTCTGAGCACACTCCCATCCACCAAAGTCGCCATTTGAGCTGAGACTTGTCACGAAAACACAGCTTCGAAGCAACAGCCTGAAACGCAAATCCCAATGTCACAGCCACATCCAACTCTAAACGCCAATCCGAATCTGACTGCGCAGAAAACTGTGGATCTCGCAAAATGCCGCGCCTGCACAGGGAAATCACCCTCCACACTTCAACATCTCAAATATGTCCACACCTTTCCTTGCTATTTCACACGAATCTGACACGTCATGCTTCCATCCAAAACCCTCTCCAAAAACTTCGCCCAATGTACGTGCCATAGCGTCCCACTGGGAACGGTTGCGGACGGTTGACAACGTCGCAAACGCTAATACAACGAGTCGCGAACAAGGCTCTACCCCCAGACCCCCAGAGTTAAACGAGAACCCTTCGCTACGCATTTGGGAATATATATATATATATACGCACACCAAAATGATCAACATTGAACATGCTTTCAACGCAGAAACAAGGCACAGGCTGGACTGCCACACCGCAAAGCCGTGATAGAGCCAGCATGACGAGTTCGTCACCTTCTTCTTCTCCTCGCATCTTAGATACCCACCTGAAAGGGTAGGTTGGAGGCCATGGCTAAGTCTGCATGGCACTTGAGGCACTTGCTTCTCGTAAGCATCCTCGCTTGGCTCGCTATGCGCCTGGCAATATGCCAGCGTCACTTAGCCAGATTCAATGGGCTTCCCGGCCGCTGCGACTGGATGGAAGAAGGGCAGGAAATAGTCCTGCACATCTAGGGAGTGCCAGGGTCCCAACAGCAGTGAACCAGTATTCATCAAACTTTGTTCAGGTGTTTACAAATGCTGGAGAGTTGATTGTTCTTTGGTGCGGTGGGTCTGTTTCAAGAACTCTTTTTCATCTTGTGTCAGAAAATTCGTAACGATAATGCGGCCATCGATGAAACTGTGACTCCTTGGAGCAAGAGCGGGGCGGGTGGGTGAGTGGCATTGCTCTGGATACAGTAAATTGTTTGAAGTATAATACAAACATTCTGGACAGTGACGAAAGCCCCAGTGGCCCAGAGTGGCCCCAGTGCCCTCTGATTGGAAGGTTTGGCGTACGGTGAAGTGTAGTGTTCTTGGAAGAAACATAATGACGTACAAAAGATCTCACCAAAGGTAATCTTCAAAGGTGCTTCTCGAATAAATCGTCCAAATTCCGGCCCACGCAAATCACCGCGAACAGTTGAGATGGAGCAGCTTGCGTCGCTCACAAAATGTGCAAGTACCTATATTATATATATATATTTATTTATTTATAATATAGCCTTTGCGTCATACTGAAGTTTTCGTGGATGCAAGCTGTTCGCGGACCTGCCTTGTCTGACAACAGAACTTCACAGGCTGCGTGGCGCAAAACGTCAGCCATCCGACCTTCAGGCATCTCAAGAATCACCACATCCATTGTGGCCCTTGGCCCTTCATGTGTTCTTCTTGTTTCTGTTTTTTTAGATGCAAGACCGCTGTGCCATGCTATGCCTGTTTGGAACTCCAAGGCATTCGCCCAATGTACTGTAGGGGTTCTCTTGGTGCTCTTGGATGAGATCCGGTAGGGAGATCGTCTGCGAATTGTAAATGCACAGTAGGACGCTACTAGGAGCAAAGGGCATCGCTACTAGGAGCGATCGGACGCTACTAGGGGCTCCTGGCCTTACTACTAGTAACAAGAGGACGCTACTAGGAACAAGAATTCAAGAATCGTTCCCTTGCAGTGTAGAAATTCCTCGGTCCTCTTTACGCTGTGCAATGCTGCGCTCCTTTGGAGCTTGCAAGAACAATGCGCATCTTCCTTGTGAAGATTCCAAGGTGAAAGCATAGCAACTCTCTGCCTGAAGCCACAAGGATTTGGTGGTCAGGCGTCACCAGCTGCTGAGGTACACCCTCGAATATCTCTCTTGAAAGAAACGACAACACAAAGTTACAGGATGTTACAGGCTAATTTCAGACTGGTTGGAAACTGCAAGTTCAATCTCAAGAGCACAAGGAAGTTTTTCCTCCTTTGGACAGGCGACGCATTGATCTCAAAGCTTTGTCCTGGCCGAAGCCTGAGTCTTTCGTCCAAGCTAGCCAAGGGGTATTTTACATCAGTTGCACTTAGCGGCCGGGTCATTCGTTGCCTTGACGTCAGCGTTTGACTGGAAACCTGGCTGATCCGTTCGTAGCAGGGTCAAAAAAATGCTGCAATTGCTCAAGGATGCAGCAACTATTTGACTATTTGTCAACAGGGCACTTCAAGCTCTCCTGTGGCTTCACAGCAAAGGAAACATGGTCCTCAGGGCGAAAGCTACTTCAACTTCAAGCCTTTCCACTGTGAGAAGTTTCTTAAAGCTACTTCAAGCACTTTATCTGAGCACTTCACGTGGAAGACCTGCTGTGAGGACTCTACGTCACACTGTGAAGCTTCCCAGCCACACAATCCTTGCTTCATTGAATCTATTGATCTCGCCTCGTCACATTTCGCTACGCAATCCGTTGGATTTGTAATGTCTTGGAACTCCTCGCCAATGGTTTTCATGCCTGCAGTCTAATTAGTTTGCAGGTGTTCTCCATGAGTGCTAATAAAGCTGAGGACTCCACCAAATCGCTGGCACATGACCTCTAACATTCATGAGAATGGCAAATCGTTCTTACTTACTGTAGGCCATTCGGACATTCTTTCACCTGGTTTATGTCAAATCAAGTGTTGTAAACAAATCCACCTTGCAGCGATGAACATCCAACCGTGGTCTGACCTGCAGGACTTTGCGTCAGCTACTTAGTCTCCCTCTCTCTCACAAAAGACTAAACTGTTTCAGGTAAAGAGGTGTGCTTCCTGAGACTGGAAAGACTAAGTTCCTAGAGTGGTGGCATTGACTGACGTTGAATTTAAGGCTCATTATCAAGGAGCATAGCTTTGCGTGTGTGAAACAACTTGAGAAAGTGTGTACGGCGCCAGTGACATAGCTCAAGCCCAACACTGGCAACGGATGGTTTTTCCACAAGTGATTGTTCATAGGTTCAATGGTGTGCGACCCTTTCCTCGGGGGGCTCTTACTCTCAAACAACGAAGTACAAAAGACTCGCCTTCATGTCGGCACTCGGTCTTCATGTCAACAGGATGAACATAAAGAATAACTGTCACAAATGATTTCCTCAGGTGTGAATTTTAATATGCAGAACTCAAGCCAATGGGGTTTAGACTATTGTCCTTCTTCCAGAGAGTCTTCGGAAGGTCTCCCTATTTAAATACATGGCCACACGCAATGGTTTGAGAAGTTGACGAGGTGAACTTTGTGATTTTCGCACAGAGGAATCTTTTCGACAATAAATCTAGCAGCGACCTGGCGACCTAAAAACATCAAAAGTCAATCAAGACATTTATATATATATATATATATAAAGGAGCTCACGCCTGCCTTACTTTTGACGCGCTCCGCAGTTTAGTCAATAAAAACGATCAGGTTTATCCCTGGCTCACTCTCTCTCACTGAGGCTCAGTAGGAGACCCAGTCTGCCCAACCGGCACCTCCTAAAGCCTCCTGCCTAGCCGAGAGCTTTAGGCCGATGTCTCTTGTGTTCCAAAGAAAAATTTTAAGTCCCAACTGCAGGTTTGGCGTCAAGTCCCTCCCTGACTTGATCTGAGTCTATCCCTGACTCACTCTTTTTGTTTCTCACTGAGCCTCGGTAGGAGACCCAGTCCGCCCAACCGGACTGAGAATCTACTCCTCGCACCTCCTAAAGCCTCCCGCCTAGCCGAGAGCTTTAGGCAGATGTCTCTTGTGTTCTTTGAAAAGGAAAAAATAAAAGTCCCAACTGCCCTTATGGCAACAGGAGTGCAGCCGGCTCAGCCGGGCAGGGTGGGCGGGAGCTGAAGCGTTTGCCCCCTTTTGTCAGACCAAGGGAGATCACGGCCGGATTTTTTGGACCAGCATGTAGATGTGCGAGTTCTTGAGGTTGAGCGTTTCCCCTGCACGGAGCATGGCACAAAAAGCGACCAGAAAAGAAACTCCAAAACTGAAATGACCATGAAAGTGGGCCCAACCCACCATGGCTAGGACCGCCTCCTGGGGCAGAGGAGGTGCCCGATTTGGAATTTCATTGGTACTCCAAGTTCGCGTAAGTCGCCATGACAACTGTAAATGCCCTTTCAGCTTTGGGTCACGGTCTTGAAGTCCTGCTAGGGTGTCGCAAGCTTGCGCTCGTCCGACTCCTGCTGACCATAAATGTTCCACATACTCTGCCAGGAGCCCATCCAGTTGCTCCCGCTTTCGTGGTAGCTGCAAATAATTTGCATGCAACCATGTATAGAACTTCTCCGTGGCATTGTCATACCGGGCACGTGTTTTATCAGAGACAGTGAGCGACCGCAAAGTCCCCAGTTGTTTTCGAGCTGTTTGCCTATCTTCTTTTGTCTGACCCTCCAAAACTCTCTTTCCTACTTTGCCCGTTTTCGACGAAGCGGCCGCCGGTTCGGCTGGTCAGCCGGGTTTTGCGATGCGTGGATGTACCCCCAGAAAGGGTGACGGTCAGCTGCAAGAAGATAGGCGTTCAGATGCTGGATGGTCTTTCGTAATTTTCGACTCCAGCTCCCAGTGCGTGGAGGCATACCAAGCCACCCTACCGGGAATACGGTAAGGGGTCGCTTCCAGCGTGAATCATCAAGTCCTCTCCCTTGGAGGTTGTCATCTCAGTGAGTTTCTGAACTGATGCCACGGAGTCGTCCCCATTTGGGAATTTTTGCCGAATTGGAAAAGGTGGTCGCATGAGCACATGACAAAAGCTGCTGCCTCGTCCTAAGATAAATTCTTCCACCAACTGCTGCAAAGACCATTTGCGACAGAGTCCCAGTGGGATCATCAACTGAAGGATCAGCCAAGCACAACTCCCACCTGCCAGGAGTTGCCCAACAAGGTCAGCCGGGAATCATCATAGGCCTCGCCCTTTTGTTCAGATTTGGGAACGCAATCAGTCCAATGGGAACCCCATTATGACTTCGCGTTCTTGGACATTTGGTCGACGCCAATTGTTCCACAAACCATGACTATCTTTGTATTTGGGGGGAAGCGGTGCTTATCATCAACCCACCGTTGTAGTTCATGTGAGGCACGTGGCCGTGAGGTCGTGAATGTTGGGAGTGTGCGTCCGTCTTGAAGAGACCATCCCCGCTCAAGAAAACTGCTACTGTAGCTTCAATGCGTGCCTCAAGCCGGTCACCACATAGGCCTTCCATCCTGACTCTTCACCTTCCATGAATGTCACCCCCTCACCTGGAGGAAGAGGCCAGCTAAATCCAGTATAGCCGGGGACGGGACTTAAAGACAAATGCCTCGAGAGTCGATTCGAAACAGGATCCTACCGAAACGTTCACTCATAGAGCTCGGTCCTCTCCACTCATAGACGCAACATCCTCAACGAGTTCATGGACCTGCGCCCGCGGAAAGCCCTGCCGGAACAGCTCGCAGATGCGTGGGACACGCACGGACAACGAACTTCTTTCATCTCTTATTGCTCCCGTCCTATCGGCATTTAGCCCACTGACTCCCTGGAATGGAGGCCCTGCCCCCACCAAGACAACTCCTACGTTGCTATACTTGGGGCCAGCTGCGCCACCTCTGCGGCTCCGAACTCCACCACGTCCTCGAAAAACTCAGTCTCGGGGAAAGCTTCTTTCGGGCCCTTTTCAATGCTGACATGTCCGGCCATCGGCAGTCCCAAAATGTCACGCGCAACCCGACGTGCCCCAACGCCGTCGAAAAGACCCACCGACAGCGCTCGGGCTTCATTCCTCTTGCGTGCCCCTCCAACGTTTTGAGTCGTTGGGCTCCTAGATCTGCAGCTGCGGCCACCTGTCCAGCCAGCAGCAAATAAATCCAACAGGAGTCCCCAATGATGGGACTCCCTCGCCACGGGCCCACTCATAGCTGGCATCAGCACCTGTCTCGCGTACTGAGTTGCAATCGCTGGCACTGACCATTCGAGGGGCTCTCCAGCCACGCCCAACTGTGTCAACAAAGCCTCCTTCGCCTCCGCGATCATGGACATAGTAAGCCCCCGGGCGCTGACGCCACACTCGCTGCGTAGGGGTGGCAGGTTCTAAGAGGTCTCGGTCTTCCACCTCTGCACTCTCCTCGCTCGAGCTCGATGACCCGCCACTTCCCGATGAGCTGCGCCCCCCGCTTCTTGTTGCGGCTCCGACGGGCTACCTTGCGAGCCTTCTTCTTTACCTTTCGCCTGACCTCCGCTTTTGGATCCAGGCCTGTTGTAGAGAAGATGCTCTCCAATGACTTCTTTCCTTGCATCCGTGAAGCCTCCTTTTTCTGTGTCTTCTTCGTCCTCTTCTCCGTCTGGTCTCCGACACCCCAGCGGACTCCTCCTTCTTCTTCTCCTTCGCCACCTTTGCTCCCACTCCTTTTCCTCGGTGCCTTCGAGATTTTGGCTCCATCCCACATCTTCTCTCCTCACTTCTCGCAGTCGGCTGTCATGCGTGTAGCCCTCTTCCCAGATCAACGCTGTGCAGGGATCCGCACACACGTGGACTCTCATCCGGCGTGAAGCCACTCGCGCCGCTCGCCTTCAGCCACAC